TGCGTTTGCGGCCTTTTTCGTGCTGCCCAATTTTCCGCGGACGACGTCGTGGTTGAGCGAGGAGGAGACGGCGCTCGCGGTCTGGAGGCTGGAGGAGGATATCGGCGAGGATGATTGGAAGAATAGCGGGGAGCAGACGTTTTGGCACGGGTTCAAGACCGCGTTGGAGGATGTCAAGACGTGGATTCTGGTAAGGCATACTTTCCCTCGTTCCACTGTTCTTCGTATACTAACACACCTCTCATCTCAGCTGGTCCTCATCTTCTGCATCGTCGCCTCGGCCTCCATCACAAACTTCTTCCCCACCGTCGTCCAGACTCTCGGCTACAACTCCGTCATCTCCCTTCTCCTAACCTGCCCGCCCTACGTCCTCTGCGTCATCACGACCTGCATCAACGCCTGGCACGCCGACCGCACGGGCGAGCGCTACTTCCACATCGTCGTGCCCCTCTGCGTCGCCATGGCGGCCTTCATCCTCGGCGCCGCCACGCACGCGACCGCTCCGCGCTACGTCGCCATGATGCTCCTCGTCCCGGGTGTGTACACTGGCTACACCACGGCGCTGGCCTGGATCAGCAACACCCTGCCGCGTCCTCCCGCCAAGCGAGCCGCTGCGCTGGCGTTTATCAATGCTGTGAGTAACTGCAGCAGTATTTACGCTAGTTACTTGTACCCCAAGAAGGATAGCCCGCAGTACACGGCGGCGTTCATCCACAACTGCGTGGCTTGCTTTATTGCCATTTGCGCGGCGACGGTGTTGAGGTTTGTGTTGGTGGGGTTGAATCGCAAGCTGGAGAGGGGGGAGCACGTCGAGGGGGCTATCAATGCTGCGCCGGGAGAGGCGGCGGCGCACGGGTTCCGCTTCAAGATATGAGGAACTGGTTTCCAATTTTGTCGAAGTGGTGGTGTAGACCCAGAAAGGAGAGAAATCAGTGTAAGAATTCGCCGTAGACATGCTCAGATAGGTATGTTAATACATCCATGCCGCTTCCAACCTGAATGAAGAAACCCGAGTTTACCATTGGAAGAAACTGCAGTCTTTTCAGTGGATTGAGTCCAGGTTCCTGAAGAGGATACCCGTGAATAAGGTAGGCACGCACTTGCCCATGGCAAGTAGCTTTAACCGTCCACAACCCGACTGGTAGATCAGTGTTTGGTACGCATTTCACAATTCCCCCGATGTAAGGCCTTTAGCAAGTTCACTCTGTTGTCAATTGACGCTGGAGCTCTAGATAAGTTAGCAACCTGTCCACCACGGCTTTGGTATTACCGGTTGTGAGGATAGAGCCAAGCCATTCCACATTCGAGTAGGTACTCGGAAGCAAAAAGCTTCGTATCTAGCATCCGATTCCACGGCCTCGCACACTGGTAGTTTCTTATCCTCAACACAAGGACTCAGTTTCATGGCTCATGAAGTCATCCCGCCTGTCGAGGAAGCGAGTGTCCCCCCCCAGCGTTGCTAGCGAAGGGCCCTCACCATATTGTCCCAATGGCCTTTGGCACCATAGATCAAACTACAGCATCGGGGCTAAAGACGCAAGCTGCACCGAGTTGCAGTTGTGAGGGGAGGCACCATCTTGAGTTAGATACGTCAATTCTCCGGGACATTTCAAGACATTAAAAAAAGAAGAACTTGGGACCAGTTGTTTCGTCGACATTCACCAAGGTAATTTCTTCAGAACCACGCAAGGGGCTGAGGTGCAAATGCACGAACGTTTTTTCCTTTTTGATGAGCGCAATCTCTGTTGGAGTCAGGTAGCCCAGAGCGGACTGCAAGTAAAAAGACCGCTCGTTGGAAAAAAGTCAAAAAGGAAAGGAAGGGAAGGAGCTGGTGATCACTTGCGCTAGAACTCACGCCCCTGCCCGGACTCGAACAGCGCGTCCCTCGGACCAGCACGGCTTCATTGGAGTATTTGTTTTAGCTTCTCTGCGTCAGGGTGTAAACCACCCAGCCAATCGGCCGGATGGGTGCTGGTGACTGCAAAAGTGAATGGGCGCCTTTAGTACTACGGGTGGTCAGCCTTTTTCGGATGAATGAGGGAGGGTAGGAGAAGAGCGTTGAGGCGGGACGGGGCGAAGGAGACAAGGCTTTTGGGCCAACGGGAGTCACGAGGGACGGAGAGACGACCTCACCTCACCATTATGAGTGGTATGAGCTGCGTCTTTGTTTAAGGTACTCCGCGGTAAGGTAAGATGTCTTACTCTCCATGGTCCATACCAGATGGCTGGCTGTATGAACCCCTTCGTCTTCATGTATCGAATCATAATCTTGCATACCTCACTGGGTACATCAACTTACATATATATATATATCCCCCATTCACCTCCCATCATCCCTCAACCCAACCCTCATCTGTCCCTTCCCGCCCCTATTCGACCGAAAGTAAAACGGCACAAACACAAGCTCCCTTTCGAGCCCATCCTCACCCTCCGCCAGAACCTCCGGCGTCCGTTCCCAGCCTGTAGTCTTCAACGCGAAATACTCCTCCCCGCTCATCTCATCAACCCTCCACTCCTCCTCCACGGCCGTGCCCCTCTTGATCCCCACGTCCTTGAAGTGATTTTCCTCCCACGGGTGATCGGCGTCCTCGACGCAGTACACAATCGGCCCACGCGCCAGGCTGAGCGTGCGCTGGTTGGTGTACGGGTGGGGCGCAATGTATCGCGGCGCGAAGCTGGCGCCGCCGATATCGAGCGAGAAGACGGGGTTCGAGGCCGTGTATGAAGAGTCTAGGCGGAGGTAGCCTCCCTTTTCGAGCGTAGCCGTCCCCGCGGGCGGCGTGGGCGTGAGAACGTAGCCATGCTGAGTTGCCCAAGCTGGGATGCGCAGGCGTATGGTTGTATCGAGAGATTCTGCGCCCTTGAGCTGGAAGAGGATGTTGCCTTCCCACGGCCAGTTGGACTTTTGCGAAAACGTCACCTCTGTGCCTTCTACCGGGAACTTGACCTCGGCGCTGGTGTAAAGATGAACATTCACAAACGCCCCCGTCTTCCCCCCCTCCCCCTCACCACCCACACCCCCATAATCCCAAAGATACCCCCCCAAACTCCCAAACAGCCTCGTCACATTCGGCGGACAACAAGCACACACGAACCAATCCTCCCTCTCGCTCCTTGCCGCTTCGCAGCTCGCGAGCTGATTCTCGTACGTGAAGGCCTTCCCGTCGGCGCTCATGGCCGTCATGACGTTGTTGTACAGACACAACTCCATGACGTCGGCGTACCGGCCGTTCGGCTCCGGCCCGTCGGCGTGCAGGAGGCGCTCCGCGAGCATCATCACCCCGACCGAGGCGCACGTCTCGGCGTAGCAGCCGCCCTCGTCGGGGCCTTGTGGGAGGAAGTAGTCGGTGCCGAAGCCTTCCCACTGCGCTACGGCGCCGACGCCGCCGGTCAGGTACATTTTCTTGTCGACTGTCGAGGACCAGAGGCGTCGGAGGGCGGCGAGCCAGTCTTGCGCGGCGGTCAGGGGCCGGACTGCGGGAGCTATGCTCTTGTTGCTGCTGTTTTCCTGGGACGTATTCAAGAGGTCCGCGGCGGCGGTGAGGAGGTACATTGCCCTTACAGCATGGCCCTCGACGGACTCCTGCTCGAGGATCGGCACGTGCGCCTGGCAGTACCAGTACGACCTGTCCATGGGCCACGAGTTGGGCCGTTTCCAGCGCGGCTCGTCGCGCTGCTCCATCTCCCAGTCGTAGTAGTGCTTTCCCTCCGGGCCCGTCGGGTTCCCGCGCTCCTCGAGGAAGAAGCGCGCGAGGTCGTAGGCTTCGGTGTTGCCCGTCGCCGCGTAGCACCGCAAGAGGGCCAGCTCGATTTCCGGGTGGCCCGGGTAGGCTTTTATTTGGCCCTCGCCGGGGCCGAAGCGGCGGTGGATGTGGGAGATGTACTTTTCAATGGGGGTCATGAGGAGGTCGTTTCTGTAGTATTGTCTGTGTGCTAGGGCTGCTTCAATGAGGTGGCCGGCGTTGTACCTGTTTTACATTGTGAGTCTTGTTGTCATTCACGTAGCACGTTAAGTGAGATGGGATTTTTTTTACATTTCATGCATATCACGAATATTCGTCCACCTCTTCCCGGGCTCCACGACGGAGAAATGAACATTGAGATACCCGTCCTCGTGCTGCGCGCGGCGAATCATGACAACGAGCTCCCGGACGGCGGCGTCGACTTCTACATCGTACTCTTCCACGAGGAAGTAACACGCGCCCTCGATCCACTTCGCGACGTCGCTGTCCCAGAAGAGGTGCAGGGGCGCGGGCCAGCGCGAGCGGTCGTCGTAGATGGGGTGCCAGCCGAGCTTGAAGCAGTCGTACTGGCCGTTCGCGCGGAGCTGGGACAGCTGGGCGTGGACTGTGTTGCGGGAGACGGTGGCGCGGCGGGTGCGGAGGAGGGAGGGGGCTGTGAAGGTTGTTTGGCGGAAGGTCGTTTGTGGGTGGGACATGTTTTATTGCTTTTTGCCGAGGGGTCTTGTGGAAGTAGACTGGGGGCTGAGGTATGATGGGAGGGAGGGAGGACTTAAAGATGTCACGATATGTGGGAGGAGGTTGTGAGGAAGCTGCTTAGTGAGAGAGATAGGCAGTTTTGGCGGACATTGACATATAAATGAAATGGCGGATTGGGAATTGAAGCTCTGATGGGCAAGGATGTAACCTCGAACTCGAGGTGCTTAGAATCGCCGAAAAAGGAAAGTCGAATTGATAAGGACAATCTGGGATGGTTTCCAGCAAGAGTGAGAATACTAGGACGTCGGCAGGATGTACTGGCAGGGTTAAGGATTGGAGTCAAGAAACATGAGTAAACTTGGGAGAATTGAGCTCTTGGCCAGGTCAGCGAACTCACTAAAGGCTCAGGCCAGATACGAGGCATGGGCCAACCAGACGAAGCCTTCCATCCCGGAGTCTAAGTGAGTGACGGCCGATCTGTTGTGCGGGGTTAAGTCGAGCACAGCCCGGCCGGGCCGTCCGTCCGGGATCCGGCAAGCTGCCCGAGATTTTGGGTTCCTTAGATGTGAGATAGGCTCACCGTAACCGATCTGAGATATTGACCCAATGCCGGCCGGCCTGAGTGAGTGAGTAAGTGAGTGAGTGAGACTTCAAGCATGACCGAGTTCCCGAAGGTCTGGTAAAGACGTGCGAACGTGTGACGCAAAAAGATCCGAACGCAAAATTTTCATGCCGGTCATTGAGGTTCAATTGGCAGTGTGGTATCTTAAAAGAGGTCATCAATCGCCTTATCGGCATCCTTCTTGATTAGATCAACCATGCCCTGGAGATATGTCAGATCCATACAGTTCTCATCTCATGGAATGTACAGACGGGGGTTCGCGATGGGGAAAACGAGATAAAAACTCACCTCTGGCATAATGGGCTGACCGTCCTTGTCCGTGACGTACTTGAAGGGCATCTCGGTGCTCTCGTGCTCACTGAACTTGAGCTCGGGATATGTGACGTAAGGAATCTTATCGAGCGGTGCTATTATCCGTGAGCGCCTCATCGAATTATGCGATACTAGGGGGGTAGGGGTGGTTTGGCACGTACTCTTCTCCTCGACGACGATTCTCGTGACGCGGACTGCCGTGTCAGTCGTCATCTGGGTGGGACCCAGGCGCCTGCCTTCGAAACCCTTCTTCCTCAACTCGGAGGTGCGGTCTGCAGGGGTCAGCGAGAAGGGGTGAAGCATTTAATGTGACCAACCCAAGGTCACGAGTGAAATGATGAGAATACTTTACCTCTTGGGGGGTCATCGCCTAGAGAGAGAGAAGACAACAATCAGCAAAAAAGTCACATGAAGAATGAGAATCATGAGATTAATTCGTATGAGGGTGAATGACTGACCCAAAATGCCACCAAAAAGGAAGGCGTCGAATTTTTCGCCGTCCTCGGGGCTCAGGTCGCTGGCGGCGGAGGGGTCGAGCAGGCACACGCGGGACTTGTCGGCGGCGTAGAGCTCCTCGACGCCCCGGTTCTCGGCCTTGAAGGCCGGGACCTGCTGCAGCTTGTCCGGGGCGACGAAGCCGGCCGGCAAGGAGGAGAGGAGAAAGGTGCCCTCGGCGGCGTGGGTTTCTCTGGCGATGGCGATGTACTCGAGTTCGGACCAGGGGCCCAGCTCGGGGTCGAGATGCTCGACAATGTACGTCTTGCCTGGCATTTTTTTTTTTTTTGCTTCCTTTTTTGGTGTATTCCCGGAGGGGTTGTGTGGATGTTTCAATTTTTTTGGTGTTTGATACTACCAGGGGGGGCTGACTTGTCAAACTGAACTGCTTTGTTTCTCTCGCTTCCGGTGGAATGGCCAGGCCGCGTAATAGCGCAAAGATTGGGGTGTCAGGCTGTCAGCTGGGGGTGGGAGAGTGAAAATGGGCTGAAATTTGTGGTCAAACGCTTGTTTTGGAGTCCATTGAATTTTTTTGAGAACTTGCCCTGGATCAGATCTAGGCGCCTGCCCGCTGGACGCTCTCCACTTGGGAGTTACTCACTCTATCCGTACAGGACTAAGGCTTCGAGCCATCGCGGGCACCCTTTTGCGGCAAGGTGCAAATGCTTAACGCTCCTAGGCGTGCCCTAGCATGTACGCCCCTTACGCCCCTTACGCCTCTTTTTTGGCTCTATTCACTCTAGGTGCTCATTCAGTGTCTACACGGTACTTGAAAGTCAAGGAAGTGAGTGACCAGTGGCTGTTCCGCAGGTTCCGCATAATTGGCTTTCACTTGGCAACGGCTGTGCCGGTACGGTCCCATTACCCATTAGCATCTTTCGGCATTGTCATCGTGGAGTTGCATAGAGCATGCAGTGAGTGTCGGGGCCGGGAGCGGTCCTTGTGATAAAGACTGGACTTCTTTCCGTCCTGCTCAGGGTCCTCATAATATCGAGCAGATAGTATCATGTAAACAAGGGGCCGAAGACGGAGGGGAGGGGGGGGGGGAGAGGAACGGACAGGGCGGGTTGCTGTCTCAGGTTGCAGATGCTCTAAAAGATGGAGAAGATATGCGCGTACGCAGTCAGGTAGTGAGAACAGCATATTACATAAGCCGGGTCTCCCAACCCAGCAATCCGGGCGATCTGTGCTTCGGATGGGTGCCAAGGGGAATTTCTAGTGTTCCGCGTGTTTGACCGTATACATGTAACCCGACCGGTATCCTGACGGCTCCTGAGCATGATGAGCATGTCATCCCGGGTTGCTCCCGGTCTGGCAGTCGTAAAGAACGGCAAAAGAAGCAAAATAAAAACAAAAAAAGGGGGTTCGATCGACGAAGCCAAGGTAGGAAAAGATGGAGGTCTCTGCTCTACGGCACTTAGCACTCTGCTGAATCGGGGAGTTCATCTCATCGTCGTACAGACTTGACTTCAGTTCATTGTTGATCTATCGACACTTTGATTCGCAGTATAATAATCAATCAGTAAGCCGGTAATCAGCGGGAGCCGGTCGACAATGAGAAACGCGCGGTCCGTTGAGCGCCCGACTAGCCCTAGCGGACGCCACGCATGGGCAGCAGTACTCCCTGGGCTCTGAAATAAGGTAGCTGAAGCCGACTTCACACACTGGAGTACCTTAGGTATCGAGTGAGAGTCTAGACGGCTAAGAGAAGCCCCTGTTTGGAGACTTGCGACAGGCTCAGAGCAGACTCTCCGTCATTCCCTGCGGCACCATTCGGCTGCGCTACCATCCGCTGGGCGATAACAGGAAAGGTGACGGGAACCCCAATTCCTTCGACGTCTGTGCCCACGCCCGCCTGCTCCCTCAGTCCCTCTCTCACTCTCCGGTGCCTCCACTTGCGCCAGCCTATTTTGGTAGGCGGAACAGCGGGCAGGGGTAGGTACACTAAGGTGGACTGGCTGACTGGTTCTCAGCCTGAGGATTTGACGGGAAGAGTGCGCGGCCGGGGGGTGGGCGGACGAATCGAATCGACTGGGGGGAAGACTCGGGGACAGGATGGCACGGAAAGTACACATTTCAGATCTGAGCTGTAACTTCCGCTCTCGCCTTGCGGTCCACGGCTCAGGTCCTACTCCTGGACAATTCAATCGAACTGTACCTTGAGCATTTGCGCATCGTCCATCTTTTTTTCTTCTCCTTCCTTTCCCATCACTCTCTCTCCCTCCCGAACCTCCGCCCTCCCTTCAAACAACCACCCTAATCTGCAACTACACGTCCGTCCTGCTGCGGATCGTGGTCCTTCTCTTCCTTGTTCTTTTCATTGTTGGGGGAAAGACGACGTTTCTATGAAATCGCGGATTGGAACACATCAGTAACTCTATCTACCTAATCCGACCCAGGTAGCCTCGGGGAGGCCATACACTTCCCCCATCATGGCTATCCTCTCGATGGTGCCAGCGCTTCTGCTTGCGCTGGCATCATGGACGCCCGCCGTCGCCGCCCAGAGCGCCGCCGACTACTTTGTCCACGAACTGCCCGGCGCACCCAAGGAGCCTTTCATTAAGATGCACGCTGGGTACGTTGTCCTCCGATGTTGCCGCGCCTGCAGCAATTCAGCATTTTCCCCTTTGGACCCCTGTAGAGAAAATCAAGAGGCATTCGTAAACTCAAGAGCTGTCCAAAGCTGACGCGCGTTTCATCACAGCCACGTCGAAGTAACACCCGAACACAACGGAAACCTCTTTTTCTGGCATTTCCAGAACCAGCACATCGCCAACAAGCAGCGCACTGTCATTTGGTTGAACGGCGGTCCAGGATGCAGTTCCGAGGATGGCGCTCTGATGGAAATCGGTCCCTACCGAGTCAAGGATAAGGATAACCTCGAGTACAACAACGGCTCATGGAACGAGTTCGCCAACCTGCTCTTCGTCGACAACCCCGTCGGTACCGGTTTTAGTTACGTCGACACCGATAGCTATCTGCACGAGCTTCCCGAGATGGCCGACCAATTCGTTGCGTTCCTCGAAAAGTGGTTTGCCATGTTCCCCGAGTACGAACATGACGACGTGAGTATACTGGACTTGAAACCCAACTGCTTCGAACAAGGTTAATAGAAATGCAGCTTTACATCGCCGGTGAATCGTATGCCGGTCAGCACATTCCTTACATTGCGAAGCACATTCTTGAGAGAAACAAAAAGCCTGGCACGAAGCACATTTGGCAGCTCAAGGGCCTGATTATGGGCAACGCTTGGATTTCGCCCAAGGAGCAATACGACGCCTACTTGAAATACGCCTACGAGAAGAAACTTATCGAGACGGGATCCCCCGTCGCTTTGAAGTTGGAGCAGCAATGGCGCATCTGCCGCACCTCGCTGGCCGTCTCAAACACTGTCGATTTCTCCGAGTGCGAGGCTGTCTTGCAGAGCCTGCTCGAGCAGACAGCCAAGGTGAACTCCAAGGGCGAGCGCGAGTGCATCAACATGTACGACATTCGCCTCCGCGACACCTACCCCTCGTGCGGCATGAACTGGCCCCCAGACTTGGTCAACGTCACCCCTTACTTGCGCAAAACCGAAGTTGTCAACGCCCTGCACATTAACCCGCAGAAGAATACCGGCTGGAAGGAATGCAACGGTGCCGTTGGTGCCGCTTTCAGAGCTCCCAACTCTGCACCTTCGAGAGATTTCCTTCCTGATCTCCTCAAGGAGGTTCCCGTTGTTTTGTTCTCCGGCGCCGAGGATCTTATCTGCAACCACATGGGAACCGAACAGATGATTGGCGACATGGAATGGAATGGTGGCAAGGGTTTCGAGCTTACTCCCGGCAACTGGGCTCCTCGCCGCGACTGGACCGTCGAGGGTGAGGCTGCCGGTTTCTGGCAGGAGGCCCGCAACCTCACCTACATTCTCTTCTACAACTCTTCCCACATGGTGCCTTTCGACTACGCTCGCCGTAGTCGCGATATGCTTGACCGTGTCATGAAGGTCGACATCAGCTCTGTTGGCGGCACGCCTACCGACTCCCGACTCGACGGCGAGACCGGCCCTGCCACTTCGGTCGGCAACATTGGCAACAGCACTTCCGACGACGAAGAAACGCAGAAGAAGCTGGACGATGCGAAATGGAAGGCATACTACCGCTCGGGCGAGATTGTTCTCATCATTGTCATCATCGCAGCGGGCGCTTGGGGCTGGTACGTCTGGAAGGAGCGCCGCAAACGCAGAGGCTACTCTGGCATTATGGGCAACACTCCCCCTACCACTCAAAGAGGCGCTGCGCGTGGCCTCGAGGGATTCCGTGACCGTAGAACTGGCCGCGACGTTGAGACGGGCGATTTCGATGAGAGTGAACTGGACGACTTGCACGTGACGACACCAACGATGGATAAGGACCGCTACAGTGTCGGAGGCGATAGCGATGACGAGGCGCATGAGAAGCCCTCGAGAGCAAACGGCAGCCGCTCAGCGCGGTAAAAGAATCGACGGCAGCTTGGCAATGATATGTGTGGTTGGCACAGGTCTAACACTATTATTGATGCTGCTCCAAACAATGCATGGAAAGTTTAGCGAAGGTTAACTTTTTTCAAAGGGGCAGAGGATAAATGAACAGTAGGCTTCAGCACGGAATCGGAGTTTGATGTCATGTCTGAATAAGGATAGAAGCAAGAAGATATTTTATGTTTCAAAGGGAAAATTTGGCTATTTCTCGTCTTGGCTACGGCCTGATACTTGAAGGTGCATCTACAGTTTCCCCGTGCGAATCGTGCCTTTGTCCGTCCTAAGCCAATGATTTGTATCTCTTCTCCAAGTCTAATCAGACCTGAGTCGTCATTTTTCTCCTACGCCCAAAACGCCCTCTTTCTCGAATGAAAGCGCCCTTTTGAAAGTACCAATTTGACTTTGTTGGCCCAATGAACCGCCCCCAACCAATGATTTGATGTCCCCGCCCTCCTGTAAAGAAATGCATCTTGCAGATGGATATATGTGTGTTGTATGTGCCAGGCTTTCCTCCTGTACCGTGACTTTGTAACGCCAGTCGTTTGTCTTGTTGTCCCCGAAAGAAAAAAGAGTATTGACAGTTGAGGAAGAGAGTTTCGTAAGAGAAGAAAGAGTTCCCTTTTTACAATTGGATATCATTAGTGAGGATCCGCACCTCCTCGCCGGGCTTGAAGGGCGGGAGGCCGATGTACGGGCACCCGTCGCACCGGAAGGCGTCGCCGAGGGCGCAGTTGCCGCAGGAGCCGACTTTTCCTTGGACGGTGAAGTCGACTTCGGCGAGGTCGTCCGTGCCGAGCTTGACGGCGGAGGCGGCAGCGAGGGCTTTGTCGGCGGAGGCGCGGGCGGCGTCGTCTTCGGCTACGAGGCGCTCTGCTAGGCCGCAGGTGCAGTCTTTGCAGGCGCGGCGGCGTTTTCCTGCTTTGGGGGCGCATTCGGGGGCTGTTTTATTTGGTTGATTGTTAGTTATTTTGTTTCTTTTAGGGGAAGGGGAGAGAGAGAGAGGAGGAAGGGGGGGGGGGGCGAGGGGTGTAAATGGGGAGTGACGTACGGATGTTGATGGGGCGCGAGAGGTCTGCGTCTGTGAGGAGGGTGTCCTCGTCAATGAGGTCGTCGTCGTCGCCGTCGTCCATGTCGAGGTCGTCGCTGAAGTCGACGAAGCCTACGCCTGCGGGGGGCGCGGAGACCGGGGGCGCGGTGGAGGGCTTGCTGTTCAAGGACACAGCGCCTCCGTTGTTCAAGGATACAGCGCCTCCGTTGCTGAGTGAAACTGCACCGTCGCCATTGACGACGCCAAGCTTCTTCTTCTTGCCAAAGCTCAACGAAACGACCTGATCTTGGCCGTAATCCGGCTTCGTGAAGCCACCGCCGCCGGAAACGAGACCGGCGAGGACGGCCTCGCGCGCGACGGCGGGGTCGTTTGCGAGGTTGCCGCCGTCCTGGGCTTTGACGTGGGCGCCTGGCTTGAGGGCCTCTGCGACGGCGGAGAGGACTGCGCCGCGGTCTGCGGCGAGGAGGGCGGTGGATTCGACGCGG